GTGGTTGCGAGCAGCATCTTGCATCTCATTTCGCATGCCATCGAAGGCCTAGATTTTGTCAGTTGGTAAGCTCGACCCGGACATTGACGTTATCGCATAGTAAATCCCCACAAGTGACTGCGGCGCAGACTGTGGGCACTTGAGAGGGGATTCAAAAGCATAGTATATCGTACCTTACGAACGGTAGCTCCGTCATCACGGCTGAAGCCACCAGTGATCTTGTCGGCTGATGGGGCAATATCGCCAAGTCGCTGACCATACGTCTCCTCGGCTTCAGCGCGTAGGCGTGCGATGGTCAGAACCTGTCTGTTCTCATGAACACCTTGTTGAAGCTTGCTAAACAGGACACCAAGTCCCGCAGCGTAATCGCTCGACCAGAAGGAATCAGCGAACCCCGGCATGATGGTCTGCCTTGTCCAGCCCCTTCGATTGATGCGGTGATTATGTGGTCCCTTTTTTTTTTTATTCTATCGGAGGGGAAGTAAGAGCCAAAAGCTCGCTATAGCGGTGGAAGGATTATCGGGGATCGACTCGCGATACAGTGGGTGACGTAGGCGTAGACGTACGCAGGAAGTCGTCGCGATCGCCGTGAATTAAGGGGGGAATTGGGCGAAAGGATGTCGCTGTTTGCGTTGTGCAGGTGATAACCTGTCGTCGTATCTGCTGCGTGTCTCTGTCTTGCGTAGACTAGTTCGGTGAGACGGGTGCTGCCGATGCAGGGGGAGCAAAGCAAAGCAGTTGATTTATTGTTGTGCGAATTCCAGGGATCGAATGGGGGGCGACAAGACACCTACGGAGTACGGAGTTGCAAGTCGAGACAGCTGTACAGTACTCTGTATCTTGGTTCGCCAAACTTTCTATCCCCTTGGGCTGACACTGTCTGGGCAGGACAAGGCTGAATGGGGGAAAAGATCGGGCGTGCGTGTTGACTGGATCGGAAGCTTGCGAACTGGGGTCCGTCCGTGTGGGAGAATTGGGACGAGATGATGGTTTGTTAGCTTGAAGGAGGCTGGCGCTGGCGCTTGGTTGGCATCCGCTGTCTGACTGGCGACGTGGAGGGGGCAACGTTTTTGTGCTAATTAACAGGGAACTTTGGATGTGGAATCACTCCTTTTGGGCGTCATAATATCAGATCAAAAGATTTTGTTCGTTGTGGTGATGATCTATCATAAAGAAAGAAGTTGGAAAGATTCTAGCTTCTTTGTCTGCTAATAAAGTACCTAGGTAAGTAATAATTTATGACAGCCCAGCAATGGTCGAAATGGCAGGAGGTGGATCATGTCTTTCTTTCCTGCCTTCCCTTCAATCATCAACAACCGAACCGAGCTTAGCGAATCCACCAAGATGAACCAGGAGGAAGGGACGATGGAACGGGCAACGTTGAACACGAACGTCTTTGTGTTGCTTGAAAGCCGTTGATACTACGTTATCAAAGTTGCATTAATTCATTCACTGATGAACTGTATAAAGGGAATTGAGAACTCTAAAAAGAGATTCAGCATAAAGAGTTACGTACGCATTCCACGTGAATTCGTGCTGATATTTTTATTTTCCCCTGTCATCGCCAATCTGAAGTTCTGTTGCTGTTGCTACGGGCTGTTGAGAGCAACATGACAGCCACAACCAGAGACGCAATCGGCATTTGTGGCCGCTTCAGAGGCCTCTCACTGGGCAACTGTCGGTTGTTAGTGGATTCGGGATCCCCAGCCACTGGCTCAGGGCTGAAGGCTAACCCCTGAGGATACTGGTAGTCTCCTCGTAAGTTGTGGGGACGGTACCTAATTTTAGAGGCACGTTTCAGAAAGACATTCCTGGGTACCTTAGTTCAGGGGTCCGTGTCAATCAAAGCAGGAATCTGGGCTTCTCCTATGACGACGGGGACAGATTCTGGGTTTGAGGACGCTGTTGATCTCACATTGTCGTATACGAAATTTTTCATAAAATTTGAACAAATTCATGCTCTTTTGATTCACACACAATTCTACAAGAATGAGTGAATGAGCCGAGGGCTGATTCAGAGCTGGGTACCATCCGACCTCAGCGCTTGTCGAGGACCTTGGCTCTCAGTAAATGCCTATTCTGGAAGTAGACCACAAGCTGGTTCCATACCAGTAGGAAGCTAAGAACCCGAGATAGAGTTCTATAAATCTGAGATCTTAGACTAAAGCTATTAAACAGGGCCTCGGCATGTAGTGTTGCTTCTTTATTAGTCCCGAGTTTCGCTATATCTGCCTCAATCTTCTTCACAACCAAGCAGTAGGGAGGTCTTCATCATCTATAGACAGGCTACTAATGAACGGCGAAGCGACCAAACGTTCCCGATTATAAGCCCAGTCAGATCTTGGAAACTCTTTGTATTCAAGTCCAATGCCAACTTCTGAAAGCAAATCTTCGGTATGACTTTCATCGAATATTTTCTTGACGTCACACGTCACTCGTTTCAGCCTGGGGAACCGACCCTGCTCTCTTCTGAGGTTCACCAGTCCAGACAACCCCTTCTGTAAACGTTCGGGAGGTGGAGGGAAATCTGGCTCCACAAGAGTGAGAGACACGATGCTGGGCGGGAGGAAACTTGTCAGGGACTTCTCATCAGGAAACTCCAAACTCTGGGTGTTGTACACTGCATCGCTGTTGAGGAACAGCTCTTGTAAGGCTGTGAATGTCTCCAGGTGGGGCATCGGGTCTATCTTGGTATCTCGACTCATAAAAGCCCGAATGCGAAGGTCAAGATGAAGCGACTCTAGAGTTGTGCATTGCTTCTCGAGGTGTCTGACAACATCGCTTGCCTGAACCTGCCAGTTGTAAAGCTCGTCAATGTGCAAGGAAGTAACATCTGTGGCTTCATACGTGAACACCTTCAGGCTCCCGGTACAAGACGGGAGGATCTTGGCGAGCTGGTCGGGACTCAATCTGAAACCTCTAAGGTGAAGTGCCTTCAAGCTCGATATTTCAGGCAGTGGTAGTGACTTATATAGCGTCAGAGCTTCGAGACCTGTCGAGATAGGAATAAGTTGTGATGAAAGCCATTCCAAATCAAAGGCCCCACGAAGCTCGAGGTTTCTCAAGGGAAGACTGGATACCCCGAGGACCTTCAATACCTGCATTTGGTCATATATCTGATGAGTTGAGATGTCAAGAGCCAAGTGCGGGCATCTAGGCAACAAGGCAAGCAGAATAAATAGTAGCTCAGCTGACAGAGTACTCGCATGTAATTTTATGTTCTTCATTGCGTCTGGGGACTGAGCTCTGCCGAGGATGAGTCCTCGAAGGAATGCCTCACGGTGAGGTGATGTATCCTTTCTTTGGTTCCAGATATCTGACAGCTTCAGTCCTCTCACATTGGCTACTTGTTTGAAGGCATCGTGGGCGTGTTCAAAGTCAATTGATGAAGCTCCTTGTGTGGAATAGAAGAGGACGGCTTTAGTAGATGAGGCGAGATGCCGTTGTGAGGCGATGGTCCTTATGAAGAGGGGCAAGGATATCTGGGTCAAAGACTTCCGCAAGGGCCAGAGAAATACATGGTGCAGAATATCCTGACTGATGTCACGAAGGCGTCTTGAGACGAGACATAGCGACACCAGTACCTGACGATCCCGGCGGTAGTTGCTGGTGAGTTGTTCAGTGTTATCAGTCAGGTATTCTTGTTTGCCGCGACAGTGTATGCAGAAGTAGCCAAAGATTTGACGTAGTAACTCTGGGGACAAGTTGACAAGGTTAGGTATTTGTTGTTGGCTCTGAGTGTCTTGACTTTCTGTATGGTGCATTGTATCTACTATAAGTAACGTGTATAATGAGAATAAAGATGAATTAATGACTATTGTGAGGGCCAAGATACGAGCTATTGGCAATGAAGAGGGGGTTACAGGGATGGATCCAATGAGTACGACTTTAACCGCCAACTCATATAGCAAGTACAGGGCGGAATGAAGAGGGGGACCATTCTATCTGAAACATTTTAAGAATTATCTTGGCTTCTATGAGATAGCCATGTACACTATCCCAAATAGACGACACTTTATTTAGGGTCTATTTAAATTTGTACTGTTTCTGAATGACGTTCTGAAGTTTTATTATAACTCTTCTTCCCTTTTACCTAAGTGGAAAAGGATTGACATATTTTCAGGGCATCACAAAGACCAACCAACGTCAAGGGGTCGATCAAAGGCGAGAGAACTGGTCTGTTGGTTTATTAGTGCGGCTGTCACGTTGCGACTCAACAAAGACCAAAGAACTTGATGGCCATTGCCTTTTATAAGGTAACATTCAACTTGGTTCAACCCTGTCGTTACGTAGTATTTTGCTTGATTGCCTTGCACGGGTAAATCTACGATCTTCAGATGATCTACATCACGTGTATCGCTTCTTGCCGAGCCATCCATCAACTCCATCTCCATCTTCATCTTCAGCAGCTCGTAAACTTGCATGCCCAGAGCAAAAGGCAACAAAAGAACCCTTGCTGATGCCAACGCAACAAGGAAGGGCCAGTTGTTTCCGGTGACTTGGGCCAAAAACTTACGATGCTTCCTCTAAACGAACCGCCCTTAATTGGCGTCTCCTCCCCCTCCAAACCAATAATTGGTCACTCCCCTTCACTACTTAGCGCTCGGGGACCTGCGTCCCCCACTCACACACTTCGTTAGGTTCTTTGACCATGCCCTGATGTAAGTGCTTTTCGTACTCGAGGTTCCGAATGGGGACATCATCTCTTTTCGCCAAGGGACCGACCAACCTGAATTGGTCCCAGAATGGGCCCTGATATTCAATTTTGAGGGTTGGTCGGTCCCCTTATAAAGGAGCCTGCATTCTGAAAAGGGTGAGGTCACTTCCTTTCTGGTGTAATTCATTGTTTGTTAGTTACCTTTGTTGTTACTATATAGAGAGCTCGCAGTTCACTCTTTCACTGCAACAGGACTCACTATCACTCACTCACTTCTTCATTCTTCCATTCTATTATATTCTATTCTCCTATACTAGGTATTAGTTCCATTTCTTCTCTTACAATGCCGTCAGTCAACACTTTCATCACCGCCCTCGTGGCTGGTTTTGTCATCGGAGCTCAAGCTGGTCCTTGTAGACCTCATGCTTCAAGCTCTGTTATTCAGTATCCTGTTTCTACCACTCAGCAGACCGCAGCCGGAACTTCTGCCGCCTACACTGATGCTGTGAGCAAGTCTGAGACTAAGAGTTCCCTTTCTACTACCGCTGTGCAAGTCACCAGCACCACCAAGGACGAGTCCGAGCCTGCCACTGCTAAAGAGACAACTACTGGATACCCTGTCGACGAGACGGCTTCTTCTTCTGCTGAAACCCTTACGAATGGATCTGCTTATCACACTTCCGAAGCTGAGACTACTGAGCCTGCCGCCAAAACTACTTCAACTGCTAAGGAGGGCACAACCTCTGCTCCTCATACCACACAGGACTCTAGTGCTGCTCCCTACACTACAACATCAGTCCCCGAAACCACTTCGAAGCCAAAGACCACTCTCGACACCACTACCGCCGCCCCTACCACCACCTCCAAGCCTACCACAACTACCTCAGAGGCTTACACAACCACCTCCGCTGCTGCTACCTCCAGCTGTCCTGCCCGCTCTGAGCTCACCTGCGCCAAGACTGGCTTTTTCAGCAACGCAGACAGCAATCTCATCCAAGTCTACTACGATTATACCCTTAGCCAGTGTCAGGATGAGTGTAACAAGACTGACAACTGCAAGACCATCGGTATCACCACTAGCAACCAGTGTGAGCTCTACGATGCTGCTGTTTCTGCCCTTGGGTTTGAGTTTAGGGACGGCTGGTACTACTCTGTCTACGATGCTTGCTGCTTCAATGGCGAGTAGAAAGGAGGCTGAGCAAGCAAGCATGCCATGCGCAGGTAAATATTATCACTATATATGGGTTGGCAGGGTGTTAGGAACCTTTCGCAGCTGGAGAAAAACCAATATCTCACTCAGATAGTTTTGGCACTAATTTATAATTCTTTACATGTTTCAATATATCATTTCATCTTAGTCTTTCTACTTGGCTACTGAACACTTTTGTTTATCTCAGACTCTTGCTAACATCATTGAATCGCTAATCGTAAATGTGACCCTGTTTGTATTTTGGAAGATGTTTCTTCTCTTTGTTTCATTTTTGAGTTTTCCTTATGCGGTAGGGTTGGCCTCAGCCGCCTGTACGTCTTTGATTGTCAAGTCCTCGGCTTTCTTTGTCACTTCGGCTTCGGCGTTCTCACCGCCCTTGGCTCCGGGGAATCGGGTTCCCCTGTTCTTGACCTTCTTTTCCTTCTTGGCGGGTGGGGGGTAGGCCTTCAATGTGACCTCCTGCCACTCTCTTGAGGCCTCGAATTCAGCCTGGATAGGGCTCATAAGCTCGTGGAATCCCTTGGTCACGGCAGCCTTCAGGTCTTGGGGTGTCAACTAGAACACATCGCGTCAGTGATCGTCTTCAGTAATTACATCATCCATTAGGAGAACATACCACGTCGTTGCGGTAATCTTCGTGAACCTTCTGGATATCGCTGTAGACCAGGGGTTCGCCTTCACGCCTCTCGACCTTGAACGATCGAGAACCGGCCTTCAAGCCAGAGACTGGCAGCAAGACATACTCCACAAGTGCAAGGACACCGTTGCCCTCAACCTCCTTGGGAACACACTCTGCCTTGCGAATCTTCTTAGCCACAACATCAGGTGCGTCAAGGAGGTCGATCTTGCTGTCTAAAAGTCATCTGTTAGCATTTTTCACACCAGGGGTGTCGGTACGAAGCTCTTACTCTCATCGCTTGAGCTCATCTTGTTTCCGTTCAAGCCAGCAACCATGGGGTTCATGAGATGGGCACGCTTATAAAGTCAGTATACAGTATTTTATCCAAGAAAGGGCACAAACGCACCTTTCGGTATCCGAGCTTGGGCAACCACTCAGTGGCAGCGGTGAAAAGCTTTCTCTGATCGACACCACCAAACTGAACGTCGCAGTCGAGATACTGCTCATCCAATACCTGTAGTAGAGGGTACATTAGACCACTCAGGGGCGCATTGCCAGTCTGCTTGACCACCTCAGCGCCAGCCTTCTTGGCATCGTGCTCGGATACCACTGAGGCAAGCTTGTAGAGATCCATCACATAGTCGGCGGTTTTTTGATAGGAGCTTCCAAAGACGAAGCGCAGCTGATCGGTAGGGACTCCACAAGCCTTGAGCATTTCAGTGATAACGAATTTGTAGTACTCGGCGCGCTTCTCCACGAGCTCAATCGGAGCCTTCAGGTTATCTAGGAAGCCATGGATGTCGGCAAGCAACACAGTGACTTCGCAACCGGCAGCGAGGTACTGCGCGATCTTGACGGCGGGCACAAAGTAACCACAGTGAGGGCGGCCAGTTGTAGCGGTACCCCAGTAGATCTTGGGGTTTTTGCCCTCGGCGAGGATGGACTCGATAATCTCGGGATTGAGGACCTCGGCGAGATTTTCCTTGATGAGGGCGAGCCTCTCTTCTGTTGACTGACTCGACATCTTGCGTACCTAAGGAATTGTACAAAGATCGATTGACTTCAAGCCTGCCCCTCCAAAAGTCGACGTTGGGAGTCACACCCACTAACCTTAAGAACCACCCCGCCGGAATCGGAACCTGGCTTTTCCGATCATAAAGTTAGTCCCTGCAACTCTAGAAAACGGTGTCTCCATTTTAGTTACGGTGTCATAACGGATTTGGAGTGGGGCTCAAACTGCGCTCTTGGTTTTCGGGGCTCCCCGTAGTGGCATACCCTCAGCGCTTGCACAGCCCTTACATAACTGTTCTATGCATAATTACTGGAAATGCCTTAACGGACATCTCGGAACGGTAGAGCCATGTAAGTACCTGCGAGCTCTGAGGCAGCCTCCACCTTTCATTTGAAGCAGACAGTTGTGTTCAAAAATTTCAAGCCGTTTGATTGGAACCTGAGTACTCAGACTATCCCTCGCTTCTATGTGATCCTTCTCTTACTAAGCACCATGTATTGATCTGTGACTGGGGACTGAGTGCAAGATAATAGTAAAAACGTAAGGCAATGAGAGCGATGATGGTGTTTGACGATGTCCTCTTTCGTGGTTGATATGTGAAGCTATGCCTCATAAAGTTAGTGTCCGCTGCTCCTCTACCCAGAAGTGGTTAGCCTCTCCATGGCTTGGCCAGAGTCATTCAAATCAAAAGGTTGCCTGTTCGAATCAGATTTCGGGGAGTTTCTTTTTTTCTATCGTTCTCCCAAATCAAATGTCCAGAATCTTTCGTGTCAGCTACCTAAGAAATCTGTAGATTTAATGGCATGTCTTGTATTTAATTTGACTACCTATCTTCTTGTTGTTCGAATTGAGTCCCAGGACAACTGACAGTTAGTCTGAGCGTACCGTATTTGTCAGCCCGTGAGTTCAGGGCGTTACATCTTGATCCCTGTGCCCTTTAACTTTGCCCAACTCAACGACTTCAACTCATCTACAGCGTCATATCACTTTCTTATTCACACCAATCTCTCCTTACATTGATTCATTCTTCATTTCATTTTGTCATCACAATGGGGCGGCAGGAACCTCTCCTATCATACAATACCACTCGGTCATCGAGAACCAGGGGCGCAAACAGATCAGTCAAGGGAGGCCTACTGTCCCAGCTTCATACAGGCTCACATCATGAAGCTCCCTCTACGCCCAAATTAACACCTCGAAAGACTATCATAGCTATTTTCTTAGCACTTCTAGGACTCAGTCTGTTGCATCGGCCAGTCAGTAATCGTTACAATGGTGTTCCTCGCTATGGAAACGGATTGCGAACGCCTGAGGAGCGAGCACGACATATCCTCAGCCATACGCCATTGATAGGTATGGAGACCTGCACCCTTGTCATGATCAGATGTGTATTGACATAGTAACTCCAGACGGGCATGTTGACTTTCCAATCGTGCTACGTTTCGCATATGGCAACCAGATTTATGATGACAACTTCACCCAGCCATTCGAGCAGGGTGGGCTCCCTGGACATGTTGACTTGCATCGTCTTCGCCAGGGTCAGAGTGGTGGTGCATTTTGGAGTCTGTTTGCTCCATGTCCATCAAATGGCTCCGACTTCTCTGACAAGAACTATGCTTCGAGTAAGTTGTCATGGTTCTTGATTCATATGGCTTGCTAATTACATATATAGGCGTACAGTTCACATTGGACCAGATCGATGTTATGAGCAGGCTGCAGGCGGCCTATCCCAGCCACTTCTCTGAAAAGGTTGACAGCTCCAATGCCTTTGAGGCCTTCAAGCAGGGCAAGCTCATCTCACCCTTTGGTATCGAGGGTCTACATCAAATTGGCAACAAGGTGTCTAACCTCCGTCGTTTCCATGAGCTCGGTGTGCGGTATGCTACCTTGACTCATAACTGTCACAACAAATTTGCCGATGCTGCGATTTTGCCAGACCCTGATCGGAAGGCTGAGCCGTTGTGGGGAGGCGTGAGCCCCCTAGGTCGCAAGCTTATCGCTGAGATGAACCGCATCGGCATGATTGTTGATCTTTCTCATGTCAGGTATGTTGGACTCACTTCCGGCCATGAACCCAATCCTAACCAAGACTACCAGTGAGGATACTATGCTGGATGTACTAGGCGGCAAGGATGAATGGGCTGGCTCTGAAGCCCCCATCATCTTCTCTCACAGCTCCGCCTGGAGCGTCTGCCCTCATCCTCGAAACGTCAAGGACAATGTTCTGCAACTCGTCAAGAAGCGGAACTCCCTAGTCATGGTCAACATCGCCCCTGACTTCATCTCTTGTGTTGACACCGGAAATGAGAATGGTCTTCCTGAGTTTTATCCTCAGAACTCGACTCTTGCACACGCAGCTCAACACATTATATATATCGGTAACCTGATCGGTTACGATCATGTTGGTATCGGTACCGACTTTGACGGCATTCCATCTATTCCTGAAGGCCTTGAAGACGTCACCAAATATCCTGACCTGATCGCCGAACTCCTTCGACAGGGTGTCAGCAACGTTGATGCAGCCAAGGTTGTAGGAGGTAATCTGCTGCGTGTGTGGAAAGATGTCGATACTGTTGCTGCTAAGTTGCAGGCCAAAGGAAAGCTGCCCCTGGAGGATGATTTGCCCAAGATGAAGTTTGACGAAGCTCAAGAGGCTTCTTTGGAACATGCGTAAAGTTGTTGGTGCCGCGCTTGAACACGGCCATATAGAATTCATTTCCATTTGATCGTACATTATATATACAAGTCTTGTATGACAAGGAGAGAGCCTGGCTTGGTCGTTTCTCCTCGGTGTATTCTCTCTAGCATTTAGACATGCCATAACATCCTCTCGGGGGATATTCGCCGATATTCATACCCAATTCCAGGTAACCCACTCTTCCAATGATACGCTTAACCTCGTCGTTCCACCCTGTTGAGCCTGTTGGCCGTCGCCGTCTGTGTCCTTGTTCGTTGACCACGGACTGGCAGACCCATTGCGTGGCGTCTACCCCGGTATGATCCCATATCCTTTAGTCGTCGAATATTCTCTTGCAACAAGCGGCGGGCGTCCGTTTCGATGGTCATTTGTGATAATTCGGCCGTAATGGAAGTGACGGTTCTAGGAGCGAGGGATCCGACCTTGGCGAGCTTGTGAATCGAGTATTTTGCCATAATTCGGGCAGATACTGTGGGCCCAAGAGCATAGAAGGACTCGAGGGCTTTCTATCGGAGGGTATGGTGTGAGAATGGATGAGAGCACTCGGTTACTGCCAGACTTACCTTGACGAGCTTCTGGTCGCCGAAGCTGACCCCTGCGAGGAAAACCTATTGACTGTCAAACTCCAATTGTTTGAGGGACAAGAACAGTGTGCTAACGTACCATGGTGACAGATTATCGTGGGTATCACAGTCGCATGCCTAGATCTCCAAACCGAAGCCGACCAGACGTGCAGTTGGAAAAGATGGACAATTCGGTAAAACTCGGGTTAATTGCTGCACTGAAATGTACAAGGCGGCCACCAAGGAGCTCCAGCACGGCGGGGTCCACTGGAGAAGTGAGCCGCGACAGGGGAATGAGGCTCTGACTTAAAAGTTAGTGTAACTCTACGTTCAAGCCCATATTCATCATGTCGAGTCTTTTCTGTCGCCTCACGGCCCTAGATGCGCAGGGCACCAATGAAAGAACTCGCTCCTCTGGTGGCTTTAGCCGCTGAAACATGCTGGAACGCAGAGTGAGCTCTCCACTCCCAGTCCGGCAGCGGGGACCATCTGCAGGTAGTTTAGCGTTCAAGTCCCCCAATCGCGCACGCAGCGGGGACCAGCTCCCCCCGGTCAGTGGCTATCTCTACGGTATAAGTGTCCCTTCCCGTCCCTCCTCTCCAACCTTTCCCTTTCTCTGCCTCCGTCTTTGTATTCTTTGATCATCAGAGAAACAACAATCATGTTCAATCTTCGTCGCCTTTTCGTGTCGGCCCTGGTCCTTGGGCTCGGCCTCCTCTTCCTCGCCCAGACAGCTGAGGCTGCCAAGGGCCCCAAGATCACCCACAAGGTCTTCTTCGACATTGAGCAGGGCGACCAGAAGCTCGGCCGTGTCGTTATGGGCCTCTACGGCAAGACTGTCCCCGAGACAGCTGAGAACTTCCGCGCTCTGGCTACTGGCGAGAAGGGCTTTGGTTATGAGGGTTCTGCTTTCCACCGTGTCATCAAGAACTTTATGATCCAGGGCGGTGACTTCACCAAGGGTGACGGCACCGGTGGCAAGTCCAGTATGTTGCGATAGCTTCGCCTCGGTCCAATCCATCCATCAATTGCTAACATTTGCCTTCAGTCTACGGTGACCGCTTCAAGGATGAGAACTTCAAGCTCAAGCACACCAAGAAGGGTCTCCTCTCCATGGCCAACGCCGGTCGCGACACCAACGGCTCCCAGTTCTTCATCACCACCGTTGTCACCTCGTAAGCGCAACTCCATCTCCAACGAACCAATTGCAATCGCAATACTAACAACCATCTCCAGGTGGCTCGATGGCAAGCACGTCGTCTTCGGTGAGGTCCTCGAGGGCTACGACATCATCGAGAAGATCGAGAACACCAAGACCGGCGGTGCCGACCGACCCGTCGAGGCGGTCAAGATCGCCAAGAGCGGCGAGCTTGATGTTCCCCCTGAAGGTATTCACGTTGAGCTCTAAGAGGCAACACTCTTGTTTTGCACCAGTCCGTTGCCTCGCCCTCATTGATAATCCTAAAAAGGCCGGATTTGCTGATGCGTAGCCTTCGCCTCAATTAGACCTTTACGGCACATCTGAATTCGCTGCGGAGGAGGTTTCCGCTGGTTGGTCTCCTCTCCAGAAGGCTGGCCTCTTTGCCGTTGTTGCTGGTCTTGTCTTTGTTGGACTTCGCCACGCCCGTCAGCGCTCTCGATTCTAAGCGACTCGAGACTCAGTATTCAATAAGAGACAATACAACACCGACCATATCAAGACCATATCCGTGTTTCGATCTATACCAACTACTGCTACTTGTACCTATCAATTGTAGAATTATAGCTTAAATTTATGGTGAATTGGCAATGTATTCCGTCTTGTTAATGCTGTAGCACGTAGCTCTAGTAAAACACCCCTGTCACGTGGGGCTCACTTCACCACCAAGTCCCTCCCCCGCCATAGAAGAAAAAAAAGTTGTGTAAGTACAAGACAACTTCAATTTTACGATTCTCGATCTCTTATACGACTACCCTATTTAACACCTCTTCTGTTCATTTTCTTCCGAAATCAAGATGAAGGTCCTCAGCCTCAACTTCCTCACTTGCGCAGTCAAGGCCTGCAAGTCCTCTAAAGACTCATACCCTCTTCACCCAAAGGACGCTGAACTTGTCCAAGACGATATTGAGTTGAACCCTGACATGATCCTCAACGTGCTGCCCCGTCTTGACTGGACGGCTCTTTGCACAACGGCCTCTGAGGTGAGTCACCGAGAACAGGGCGATCATGAAACTCGCCGTGTGTTGTTGAAACAAGTTTCTGACGCTTCCATGTTACAGTTGGGTTTCCCTCAGCTCCCTGAACAGCCTCCCACAGCAGTTGAGCTTCGAGCTGATGAGAAGACCCTCAAGGATCTTCACCATCTTCTTCTCGAGACTCAAATGTCTGAGGGAAAACTCGTTTGTGGCAACTGTGGGCACGAATACGCCGTCAAGGAGGGTATTGCCAACTTTTTGCTGCCCAGCCACCTGGTGTAAAGATGACAATACGAGTCAAGATTAGTTATGTTTGCAAAAGCCCATTGGAGATGCATCACCACTAGAGAGGTCAGGTTGTTGTGACCAGAGGTGTCATAACGGAGTTTGGCGTTAAATGTCTTAATAGCGTTGAATCGCATCTGGAAAAAGTACTCAATAAATTTGGGCCAAGACCCTTTATCTGGATCCCCGACCCTATGTCCTGTCTACAGCTGATGCTCGCAACATTACATGCCGATACTAATCCTCCCATCAAGTCGCACCAAAGGAACCCAAACTCCGTAATCTGATATACAACTATCATTCCACAATGAAGACCGATACATGAACAGCGCTCGTTTATTTAGTACAAGTGGCTTACTGCTGCTTCTTTTGAGCAGCGGGGCCCATGTCCTTCTCAAAAGCGCCGTAGGAGACCTCGAGGCTAGCCAGAGCCCGCAGACCAACGCCAAGTAGGGAGAACAGCACAATGGCAGCGATGATTCCCATGAAGATACCTACAACGAATTAGTACGAAGTCAAGGGTGCGCAAATTATGCCAGGGAAGCTTACCAGGAGTAAAGAACTGGTACTTCTCAAATAGACCACGGGTATCGCGTGTGGCGTTGCCAGGCTTCTCTGCATTGCCCGAGACATCGCGCTTCAAGTCCATGTGCAGGGGCTCGATGAATTCGGGCTCGTAGATGGTCTTCTCGGACTTGGATGCGGCCGTCTTGGCCTTGGTAGATGGCATGCCAACGAAAAGTACAGTGTATGAATCGTTCAACCATTGCTCACTCTCCTCCCACTGCTTGATAACGTCTGTGATATGGTCAGAAGTTGAACTCGAAGCAGCTTTCATCATATAACGGACCTTGCTCGTTGGTCGAAGCCTTGATTACGGTGGAATGAGGCTTGACCTTCTTTGCCTGCTCGTAACACGCCCTCTTGATATAGTCCTGGATCGCAGGCGCATCGATCGACTCGCCAACAACCTCGGGCACAATAAACTTGCCCTGGATGTCCTTGCGGCCGATAGCATGGTGAAGGTTGGACATGGAGTTCGGTCGTCGAAGATCAGCGGCGTTGACACCCTCGTGAGCAATCAGGACATAATTATCGGTCGGACATGAAGTCAAAAGGTCCTGAACCTGCTCGAGAGCTTGGGATCGCGTCTGGATGTGGTTGTTGCTGGGTGCATCGGAGAACCTTGATCGTCATTGTCAGTAGGGAGCTCCAAGTATAGATAGGACACGGAGGCGCGCGTCATACTTGGAGGTAGAAAACATAACCAATGGCCATGAGTCTGAGAACGCGGCGGCGGAACCACTGAGCGCAAGAGCGCTGGCGAGAATCTGAAGACGCATCACGGATGATATTTGCTGGTTGTTGGGCGTTGTGTCTGCCTATCGATTCCAGCTTGTGATGATAATGCTAGCATTGAGAGAGCTGATGCAGTAGCAGCCACCTTACGTAACTATTCCGGTACATACAAAGCCCCGCTATATGCACACCTCGGTGAGAGCTGGGATCCATTCCGTTGTGGAGCTACCCTGGGAAAGTTTCGCGACAGTGGATTTTTCGATGTTCAAGATGCTACCTATTCTTACTATTGTAGCCAACAAATAGTTTACTCGATACGTTTTCAAGTTTTTCTTTGCACTCCACGACTATCGTGCACATAAGCAATCATGTTCGCCAAACCCAGACCCAAAAAGAGCATTCTGCCTCCGCCATCCAAGAAGCGAAAGATGACTTCTGCTGTCGAGGAGGTTAACTTCGACTTCGAGGCGCGACAGGAATATTTGACTGGTTTCCATAAGCGCAAGCAACAGCGTATCAAGAATGCTCAAGAAGAGGCTGCCAAGAGGGCCCGCCAGGAGAAGCTAGAATTGCGAAAACAGGTACGCCCAAATTTTCAGGCGAAATTACGACTTTCAATTTCGAATGGTACTAAATTATTCTACTTAGATACGAGAAGAACGAAAGCGCGATGTCGAAGAGCACGTCCAGACCGTAAACAGGTTATTGCAGGAGTCGGCAGCTGCTGGAGCAGTTGAGCAGGAATCTGACGAGGAAGACAGGGAGTGGGACGGTTTTCCTGATCAGCCAGAGCTGGATATTGTTGATCACGAAGAGGAGTACATCGACGAAGATCGTTATACCACTGTCACGGTCGAATCTGTTTCTGTGACAAGAGATGGATTACACAAACCCCAAGTCGACGACAAGGATAATGAGGAGGACAAAAAGGTTGAAGAACCGAAGGACGATCAAAAAGTAAAGTCACGACGGGAACCCAAGAAAAAGAAGAAGAAGTTCCGATACGAGACCAAGTTCGAGAGGCAGTTGACGGATAAGAAGCAGAGAATCAAGAAGGCAAAGAGGAGGGCATGATAAAGTACGTTGGAGCTCAATGGATTTGGACAACATAGAAGGATGTAAGAAGCGCACAATTTACAAAAGATACCCTTTGAGAAAAGCCAGCTTCAATCAGCTAGTAGTAGAAACGTAACATGACATGCGGCAACTGCTCCATTCGCTCATCTGACCAACACCTGGAAATACCTGCAACCAAGGCATCATACAACTGGACGAGTATACTGATGTCTGCGGACATGCTAACGAACATGGATCCTGCATCCGACGCGAGTGTTTGAAAGGTTGAGGATAAATTAGATGTTGCCAATCTCAGCCTGAAGCTCCTCCAGCTCCTTCTGGAGAGTGGTGTACTTCTGCGACATCTCCTCGTACTTGGACTCCCACTGATCACGCTCGTTCTCAAGGGCTTGCACCTTTCGCTCGAAGTGTCCGGCCTTGACGTCGGTCTGTCGGAGCCTGGAGAATCACTATGTCAGTCGTTGCATCATGTATGGTGCTCAAATTTGATGGTTGTGGAAATGGCGGTAAGGGGGCTTGCTGGGGGGTCTCAACGTACTTCTCGTTGGCCTCACGGAGTGTCTTGTCGGCATCCTCGGCCTCCTCCTCGAGGAGTTGCAGCCTTCGCTGAAGAGTTTCGTTTTGAGTACCGTGCTGCTGGCCCTCATCGGCGGCCTTCTTGAAATCCTTGACGGCGTTCTCAAGCTTCTCGACCTCGCCCTCGAGGAGGTTGTTCTTGTGCTGGAGAGAGGTGATTTCCTGCTCCTTTGACAGGTTCTCTTGCTCGAGAACCTTAACCTTGCTCTGGAGCTCCTCAACCTTTCCACTGGCCTCGTCGGCCTCCAGACGAAGCTGGTTCATTTTCTATCCACCATCGCCATATTAGCATGGGCCGACGACCGACGATAGTTTACCCCTCCACAACGGTTCCTTTTAGGTTGCCATGGCGGGGTAGCAAGGAACTTTTTGGTCAACTAACCTCCTTGATACGATCCATTTTGATAAGCGGCGAGAGGGTTGTTTAGATTGAAGAAAAGGCCAAAGTGAAACCGGCGATGAAGACAGAGGTCGTGTTGTTCGGATGTAAGATGAAGCGGTTAAGTACCTATCAAGAAAGGGGAGGAGTGATGCCCCTCCACAGCTGCCCCGGTGGAGGCCGCGTCTGAGTATAGCCCCATTGGCTTGTGGCGGTCGTTGAGGTGTGGCGCTCACATGCCGGCACTTTCCACTGTAAACTCAGGGAACATGCACCCAAAGATAGCGGTTGCCCCGCCAGCCAGCACAGACCGACCAAAACATCCCGGCCGTAAAGGTCCTGGCAGATGAGCAAATGACCCTTTCATCTTCCAACCGTAATTACCTCTTTGATTAATGAATTCAATGACGGGATCAACATCTGCCTAATTCTATCCCGGAGACAAGACAAAGTTATACTGAATCCTTGATTCGCTCGTAGTAGCCATCATGTTGGCGGCGCATCGCGACCAAGAGAATCTGGTCGTTAGCCAGCAAGTTCCGACCAAACAGCAACACAATACACGATTTCCAAAAACACCATCTCGATTTCCTCAGCATGATGAGAATGCTCCCACAGCCTTTACTGGCAAAACCGGACTGGGTGGAGTAAAGACGCTGAACAAAGGCAATGGAACACGACAGGCCATGGTCACCCCAATGGGTACGCATGATTCTTTCCAGGACAAAGAACAATACGCTAATTTGAGATGTGTTATCAGGTACCCAGAATCGAGCTCCTCTGGGCAACAAGACCACCAATGCCAAGGCTAAGAACGGACAGCTTGGTGGTGTTAAGAACATCATCCAGGGTATTGAGCAAACGCAACTCAAGCCCACGGCACAGAAGCCCAAGCAGCGATCAGTGGATCTTGCACCTCTCGAGATTCGACTCAAGGAAGAACAGAAGCCCATCGAGCCACAGGAAGAAGAACCGGAATATGCCCCGCCGAAGCCCAAGGATCTCCCATATGAATCGGACTGCTTCCCTAAAGATATGCTGACCCTCGAGGGTTTGAAGAAGGAAAATATAATGAAGGGGTACTATCAGCATTTCTACAACCCAATCGATGATGATGGCGTCTCGCTTCAAGACCGGGAGTTTGCAGAGACAATGAAGAAGGTTGCTGCCAAGGCGGAGGAGAGAAACAAGCAAGAGAGGGCAGCTTTAACCTTCAACGCTGACGATCTTTCAGACACCGAAGTGCAAATCAAGGCACCAGCACCAAAGGCTACTATTGCGGACTCAGAGCGGAAGGCCAAAGGCATCCGAACCAAGCAGCCTTCGAGTCTGGCATCAAGGCGCGCTGCCTCTGCTTTGTCCATCCACTCAGACGCCAGTAGCAACAGCAAGGCTTCGAGTGTGGCACGAACAACAAAGATTCGAAAGCCTCTCACCTCTTTGTATCAGAGCAAGAAGCCTGTCGTCAGAAATGCGGTGCCTGCCAAGACATCGGCTGCAGAGAGTGCTACTGGCGTTGCTGCATCCCGAACCACTATCGGCTACAACCGAGGTAGATCAGCATCCTCAATGGTCAACGCTCAACGTCGCGGGCCTACGGCACCTGTTGGAACACAGCGTGCTGTCAAGCCCGTCGAGACAGTCAACTCTCTTCAGTCTGATCTTACCATCACCCCAGCTCGTCTCCGTCAGGCGGTAAAGCAGCAGCAGGAAGCCAAGCCGAGACCTCAGTTCATGTCTATCTTCGATGAGGATGGAGATGATGATGATCTCCCACCTCTGAGCCAACCGCTTGACATCTCTGACGATGAAGAGGAGGAGTTTGAGCTGAAGCTGAACTTTTAAGCCATCATCTTGTACTGTTAAAATATTTGGCGTTTGGGAAGACGCTTGTCGCGATATTAATATGGGCGACGAGACGGAGTTTGGAAGGTTCTGGATTGAGAGGTCGCAATGGCCGTGCTTTCTTTTATGTCTGTATGCCAGATGGTTCAAATCGAAATATTCACATGGATCAATTTGTTAATGACTTGACCTGACTTGTACTTTGATATGGTTTTCGAGGCACGTTTCCACAGCTGTAAAGAGTCTTGGCGTGCATGTGAAATGGTACAGGTTAGCTATGATGAAAACATTATCTTCTAGCACAATAATTTGGCAAGCTGCATCTGGGATATCACGGATTGATGCTATTTGCGGTGTTTCTCTTGACAAAAATTCATAAAAATATGTTGTCTTGCCTTTGTTTACCGGGAATAATCTCTTTCATCTTTGTTTTTTCGACCAGATGGAATCCTTGGGACAAAGGCCTCGCTTTCATGCATGATGACATCTCCCTTGTTTCCAAATAAGGCACCTTGTAAGCGAATGGTTCAAACAACGGTGAACAAGGTACGGACATATAAGATGAGGTACCGCATTGGTTATGACAAATGGACACTGAAGCCCAATGCCAAAGCGCGAGGGAGTTTGCAGCAAAATAACGGACAACCCGATTCATCCAATCCAATAACTACCACCCGAACCTAAGTCCACTGACGCGGTGCCAGTGCCAGTCCGATACTTGAAGTCTTGTGGGACGCGTTAATTGGCAACCAAACACTAACCCACCCACCCACCAACCGTGTATCAATCCAAACACAACATCCAATCAAAAGCTGCAAGAAACCTCCAAGCCACTCAAACTGTGGCTGGGCGATCCTCTCATTTGACACTGGACCTTACCGCTACGCTAGAAGTAACTCACTCTACTCATCCCTGAACCAAAAGTCAAAGCAAAGCAGACCGAAGCGAACGTCAACTTCCTTGGTTGTCAGCCATTTTTTCTCATTCTCCCACCAATTTCCCCCCCTCGTTTCTCTCGACACTCTGGACATAGCTATCCCTCATCGCGACCACCTTTGTCGCGCGCATCAACCGTTTGAGTCAGTCTGCTTGTTTACGCTCTGACGACTTTTTCTACTCCTTTACTACTCGTAGAGTCGGTCGGTGACGCCGCTCCGCCACATTCAACCTCAGCATCCCTCGGTCGCGTGAAGCATTTCTCTCACCTCCAATCTCTTCAATTTCATCGCTACGCTGCTCAAAACAACCTGTCTGGAATCGCCGCGAGACAGACTTTATCCCACCGTTAGGTGTACACTCAACGCTTCAGTTTAAGGATATCATGGTAAGAGCACGGGGGAAGAAGTAGGAAGAGCGCATCGTCACGATGACTCGCCCGCCAGGCGCGAGCTTCGCGCAATTCTTCCCCACCGCTCCAAAGGTAAAGGCACAGTCCCAGACTCGTCCAGACCTCAATAGAGATCGCGAACAATCCAAACCTGGGTCGACACCGGCCTCTATGACCGGCGCCTGCGACCCTACATCAACATCAGCTGCGTCAGACGCAGACGCGAATCCTGGCCAGAACGGCACTGTTTCATCGTCGGATACTATGCCCGCACAGCCCGAAGATACAGAATCACCATTCACAGACATTCCCAGCACTGTCGACTCGGCTAGCTCATACAGTAGCACGGCCTCATCAATATTTAGCACAACCGCCCGCCACGGTGCCGCGGCAACTTCAGCTTCGTCCCGTATTCCCACCTCGAGCCTTACTCCCATCGCTTCCAAAGATTCTCCCAACTCATTGGCTTCGGCCACCACAAAGCCAGACATGTCTACATGTCTGACTGCCGATCGGGCCGCGAGACAGTCCTCCCGAAACTCACCCGCCGTTGGTTTTAATGGCTCGATATCAGACGGACTCCTTCCCAATGAGCGCATTCCGGCTCGAGATCCCATGCCCTCCGTCAAGGGCCTCAAGTGCACCTATGATCCGCTCCTCGATCGAGTACACAATAAGAGCGTCAGCAAGAACGCGAAACCGACATACATGGAGTTCGGTCGAGTACGTATAACTATAAATATCCCTCCCTAGGGGGGGCGTCATCTTTGGTGAAAGACTCATGGCTAATGAAAATGATTAGGACGATGACGCCCCCCCTAAAGACCCTCGACTGGCCAAGTCGGACGGTCGCCTCGGTTATATCAATAC